TTTAAGATTCTATCTTTCTGTTGTACTTCTGGGATTTTGACTAATAGGTTATGTGGAGAAGTTTTCCTGTCATGGCTATTTGGAGGTTTTGTATGCCTTACTTACCTGTATGTTGAATCCTTTCTCCATACATGGAATGTTTTCTGCTATAATTTCTGTATACAATGTTTTTTATCTGTATTTTTTTATCTGTATAGTTATATCATCTTTGAGTTCACTGACCTTTGTTGTTTTATCATTTTATATAATTCAGCCATTTGGCTTTTTATTTTGTCCCCATTGATGCCCCTGGAATATGCTTTGAGGGAGTTGGGAGATTTTGGAGGCATTTTGATGCCTTGTTTTTCTTTAGAGTTTCTGGTTTTTTGTAGTTTTTTGTTTCCTTTGCTTTTTTTTGCTGAGGGTTGAGATTCAATTAGAGTAGAAAAACTTTGTTGTTATTATAGAGATTTGTTTATTTAGTGTTTGCTTTTCAGTGATGTGATTGTTCCTTTGTATTTATTAATCTACCTCTTTGACTGATTCAGTTTAAAGGGGTTGGACCTGGTCACTGTTTTGCAAGGAATCCTTGCCAGTTATAAAAATGTCAACAGATCCAAGCATGTATTAGCCATGTACATCAAAACTTGTTTTAGTAATTTCAACCTTCTATCAATGTTCCTTACAGACTCTACTGTGCTACTGCCAATAGTACAGCTGGGATATAAAGGGAAGGGGGGACAGAAAAATGAAGGTGGTAAGTCAATAAGAAGAATGGGAAAGAAGGGAAATATCAATAGGTAAAACACATACAAGAGATCAGATTCTGTTGCAGTTGGTTTTGAGTAAAAGGCTAGTATTGAGGAGGGTTGAAAGAATATTTTTTGGAACTAGAGGAGGGATGCACAGGGACAAATTGAAATTGGAGATTGTGGGAAGTGTGTGAATATCAGAACCTGTTAATGTGTTGATATTTAGCTTATGTCTGGATTTTCTATGCACACTTTTAGTGAGGGTTACCTAACATGCCCAGGAATGGTACTGTTTAAGTCACTGGTTGATTCTTACTCTCTTTTGCACATATACAGATACATCATGTGTGTGTGTGTGTGTGTGTGTGTGTGTGTGTTGAAAAGAAGGGAGGGTAGATAAGGGAGTAAGAAAGAGAGAAATAAATAGAATAGAGACAGAAAATGAAGAACATAAATAAGACAAGGGAAAAATGAAAAATAGAAACAATAATAAAAAACCTGAAGGCAGTTGCAAAAGCACAAAATCAAAGTGTCCTCACAATCTTGTTTGTATTGCAATCTGAGTTCAATTGCAGGTCTCCAAGCTGCTTCTGTCCTGTGGTTTGCTGAATTGCCTGCCTGTGAGTAAGGAAGCTTGTTGAGCTAGATGGGCACACTTCCCAGTTGCAAGCAGTGCTATGGGTGTGGGTCACTGTAGGTCTTTGTCTCTGTCCCCAAATTTTACCACCTCAGTTAATTTGCAGAGGACAGGGTGCTATGTAATTGGCTCAGTACCCACTTCTCTATTAATTTCCACCAGAGCCCTCTTGCTCCCTGATCCTTTCCCTGCAGGGCAAATCCCAGTTTTACCTCTCTGATTTTCCTCCACAAGCCTTCTGCCCAGTGGGTTTTCAAGACACCCTCTGACCTGGCCACTGCCCTTTGTCTCTGACCATGACCCTTTTTCAGTCACTTTCTACAAAGTGTCACCCTCTAACCAACAAACTTGGTGAAGTCCCACTGCTGCCTGCTTTCAGCAATGCCCAGCAGGACATATTGGTTTTTCCCTGCGGGTACCTACCTACAGGGTTGGACAGCACACGATGTCCCATAAGTACAGCACTCTCAGTGTATGGGAAAGGAATGGCCAAATAAGTGTATCTGGGTAGATGTGCCCTTTTCCTTTCTTTTCCCAGGGTCCCGTAGCCTCCAGTCACTTTTTACTCACACAACCCCAGGTCGCAATTTTCTCAGCACTCAAATTCAGGTCTCTAATCAGATTGATTAGGTTGTTTTCAAATTCCCATGGTTGTCTCATATACCAGCTTTCAGTCGCTCTGATGCTCTGGTTTGCAAATATCTCCTTTGCTCTATTCCTTTTCCTATTTGGGAGCATGGAGGGATTAGGAGCCTATTTCACTAGCCAGACTCCCACTAAAATGCCAGCTCCCTCCCTGAGGGAGCCCAATCCTTTCCCAGGATTGTGTGTACAGTGGACCTGAGGTATAAGGGATACTATAGTTCAGGAGCAGTCCAGCTTCCTTTTCTGAAACTTTCTGATACCAGATTTTGGTATAGTAAGTTTCTCTTTCCATTTAACTTCCCCCAAACTGGCTTTCTTTATCACCCCTGCCATAGTGTACCTCCTCTCTTCTGGTGCACTTATCAGATCCTCTTTCCCTCACTGTCACCACCTAGCCAGCATTGGTCAACATTCATGACAATTAACCTCGATGTACTATTATCTCATGAACAGATTTTATTAGCACCAAACACCATGATGATAGTATTTATGTGAAGAAACGTTAACAAAGGCCATCATTTTACATTAACAATAATTATAGCTCCAATTAATTCCTGCAAAATCTGTTTTCATTTACCAGGGGATCTAATAGTTTTGAAAAAATCATTGTGGCTTTTATTTTACTACATGCAAAAATGCTTATGTATGTTTATAATTTATTTCCCATATGTAGCTTTGTTTATTCTTTATATTTTTTCCTTAAGTTTATTGGTACATTTCAGGTATAAAATATGGTGACATTCATCATTCGGAATTTGTACTTTTACATGATATATCTTGGTTCTTATTTTTTTCCCCATTCATCTGCCTTTACTTCAACACCTCCACCCCTCCCTATTTACAAAGACTTTGTTTCCGTTTTTTCCTTTTCTCATATTAATTCCATTCTCCTCTTTCCTTTCCCCTTCCCCTCCCACTTCCCCTTCCCCTTTGGAACTTTTCTTCCTATTTCACATTATCTATTATACACTTTGATCCTTATCTACACTTTCAGTTTCTCACACCAAAGAAACTATTTGGGATTTACTCATGTGTGTGCTATTTATTTCACTTAAGAGTATGGCCTCAGTGTGCATCCATTCAGCTATAAATGTCTCTAGTTTCTCATTCTTTATGGCTGAGTAGTACTCCATTTTATATTTTTAAAACTACATCTTCTTTATCCAGTTTCCAGCTGATGGGCAATTGGGCTTTTTCCAAGTTTTAGCTATTACAAACTGTGCCGCTATAAACATGGGTGCACATACATAGCTGTGGTATGATTCTTGTAATTCTTTTGGGAAGATACCCAGCAGGGGAATAGCTGGGTCAAATAGAACCTCTAGTCCTAGTTCATTGAGGTATCTCCTTACTGATTTCCACAGTGGTTTCACCAGTCTACACTCCCACCAACAGTGGAGAAGGGTTCCTTTTCCCCCACAACCCTGCCAGAATTTGTTATTGGTTGATTTCATGATAGCAGCCATTCTTTCTGGGGTGAGGTGGAATCTCAGCCTTGTTTTCATTTGCATCTCTCGAATGACCAGTGATGTTGAACATTTTTTCATGTGTTTATTTGCTATTTATACTTCTTTGAGAAATGTCTGTTCATTTCAGATGCCCATTTTTGGATTGGGTCTTTAAATTTGGGAGGTCTGAGGAACAGATGGTGAAAAATTTTTTTCCACATTGTGGGTTGTCTCTTCACCCTGTTGGTGGTTTCTCCTCCTGTGCAGAATCTTTTTAATAAGATGATGTCCCAGTTGTTGATTCTTTGTGCTAGATCATGTGCAACTGAGGTTTGGTTCATGAAATTTTTTCCTACACCAATGTCTTCAAGAGTTCTACCTAACCTCTCTTCCAGCTGGTTTAGTGTTTCTGTTTTAATATTTACATCTTTAATCCATTTTGATTTTAGTTTAAGGCATGGTGAGAGATATAAATCTTGTTTTAATCTTTGGCAAGTTTCAACCCAATTTTTCCAGGACCATTTATTAAAGAGGCTATCTTTCCTCCAGTGAGGGTGTTTGGCTCCTTTTTCAAAGATGAGGTGGCTGAGTAAGTCTGGAGTTGTTTCTGAATCTTCCAATGTGTTCCACTTATCCTCCGGTCTGTTTCTTTGCCAGTACCATGCTGTTTTTATTACAGTAGCTTTGTAGTATAGATTCAAGTTGGGAATTGTGATACCTGCTACCTTGTCTTTGTTGCCTAGAATTGCTTTTACTATTCTAGGTCTCTTCTGGTTCCAAATGAATTTTTGTATTGTTTTGTCAAATTCTGTGAAGTATGCTGTTGGAATTTCCATTGGGATTGCATTGAATCTATATAGCAGTTTAGGAAGTATGGCCATTTTCAGTATATTGGTTCCTACCCAAGAGCAACGGATGTCATTCCATTTTCTGATATCCTCTTCAATCTCTTTTTTCAGAGTGCTATCATTTTCAGAGTAGAGGTCTTTGATTTCTTTCATTAGGTTTCTTCCTAGGTATTTCGTTTTTTTGGATGCTATTGTGAAAGGAGTTGTTTCTCCAGTTCCTCTCTCAGTGAGTCTGTTGTTCATGTACAGGAAGGCTATTGTTTTTTGTATGTGACCTTGTATCCAGCCACTCTACTGAGTTTGGTTATTTAGTCTAGGAGACTTTTGGTGAAATTAATGGGGTCTTCTTTATAGTGTATCATGTCATCCACAAATAAAGACAATTTAACTTCCTCATTTTCTATCTTTATTCCTTTTATTTCTTTCTCTTGTCTAATTGCTGTGGCTAATGTTTCCATAACTATCTTTAACAAGAGTGGTGATAGTGGACATCCTTGTCTTGTTCTTAATTTTAGCATGAAGGATTTCAGTTTTGATCATTTAGTATGATATTGGCTGTTGGTATTTCATAGATGTCTTTTATAGCTTGGTTTATTTTGAGACTTAGCCTGTTTTCAAATTTTTAATGTGCTTTCAGTATAACATTGGTGTTAAGATGCTAACATTTCCTTTCATTTTGCTTGCCCCATAGTTGATCTACTGACAATGTCTAAAATCAGATTCAGCAATCTCTCTTGGGATCAAATTATAACACTGGATCACGTGTTAGATGAAGTAGTTCCAGTTCATGGACGGGGACATTTCCCCACACTAGAGGTAAAACCAAAAGATATTATTCATGTTGTGAAAGTGCAACTCATAAAGCAAGGGATTATTGTTAAAGATATCCGATTACATGGTTCTACAGCAAGTTTTGTGCTTGCAAGCCATAATGGAATCACCTATAAGGATCTGGACATTATTTTTTGTGTTGTACTTCCAAGTGACCAAGAATTTCAGGTTGTTAAGGACACAGTTCTAGGCTGTCTACTTGACTTTTTACCAAAAGGTGTAAAAAAGGACAAGATTACCCTAAAGATCATGAAAAAGGCTTATGTGCAGAAGATGGTCAAAGTTTGCAATGAGCATGATCGTTGGAGTCTCATCTCTCTTTCAAATAACACTGGGAAAAACGTAGAGCTAAAATTTGTTAATTCACTCAGACGACAGTTTGAATTTAGCGTGGATTCCTTTCAAATTATTTTGGATCCCATGTTAGATTTGTACTATGACAAAAATGCTAAGTTAACCAAAGAATTCTCTCCTGTTGTGGTGGCTGAAAGCATGTATGGAGATTTCCAAGAAGCAATGATTCATTTAAAATACAAGCTTATATCTACCATAAGACCTGAGGAAATTAGAGGTGGTGGTCTTCTGAAGTACAGTAACTTGCTGGTTCGTGATTTTAAGCCAGCTTGTGATGCAGAAATGAAGATCTTAGAACGTTATATGTGTTCTAGGTTCTTTATTGATTTTCCCAATGTAGCAATACAACAACAAAAAATTGAATCACACCTACTCAACCATTTCATAGGAGAAGAAAAGACCAAGTATAACTACCTTATGACTTTGCATAGTGTTGTGAATCAGAGCACTATTTGCCTCATGGGTCATGAAAAAAGACAAACTCTCAACATGATCACCATTTTGGCTTTAAAAGTACTTGGAGAACACAATATTCTACCCAATACAGAAAATGTAACATGCTTTTTTCAGCCTGCTCCATGCTTACTTCCTGAAGGGTGGTACCCTATTTATTGTTTAACATCTGGGCCACCACCCATTTACTTCCAGCCATATCATACATTTCACTTTCATGTGCCGGGTGGGATGTTTTAAGAAACACACATACAACAGAAACATATCTTTAATTAAACACCTTTTAAAGCCAAGTTTCCAAATTCTATAAAATTCATTATCTATTTTTATTTTTGTGCTATTAAAAAGTATTTTCCATCAATTACAACTTAAACCATCATAGTAAATACACTATATTCTGTGAGCTGACAACTTTAAAATATTTTCAAATGTTACTGATAAGTTAAAATAATTTTCAAACTTTGAGAAACACTTGAATTGACTTTCAATTCTTACTACTTCAGACTTTCAAATTTGTCGTGTAAACTACAGATGCCTGCATCTTTGACTAAAATAAAAAATCCATGCCTTAAAATCAAGAAATATAATGAAGACAAATGCCAAAATTTTTATATTTAATCAAACCCTGTTTTAAATTCTATTTTTTCTGGTGAATTACACCATTGTGAAATTTTTCAACTTAATACAAATGCATAATTTTAAAGAAAGTAGATTCAGAAGATATAAAATCCTGGACTTTGTAAGAATTTATTTTTTCTCAATTAAATTACTTTAGGTTCAAAAATCTGAAGGAATGACGAAAACAATGTTTTCAGAAAACACTAGAAATTAGTCATTTATCATCTACCTAATTTGACCTTTATCTCTGTTGTAAATCTGGAAAATAATACCATCCAGCTGTATAACTAATGTTGTGACCAGTTTTGTGGCATTCTTTCTCTTTTTTCTTTTTGCTCCTAATTAACTTGAAAAGAGTGAAATGGCCAACTCTGAATCTGAAAAGTTTTGTATCATCATTCGTTTAAAAGAATCTCTAAATGGGCTGGGGATTTAGCTCAGTGGTTCCGGTGCCTGCCTCGAAAGCATAAGAACCCAAGTTTGATCTCCAGTACCAAACAAAAAAATTCTCTAAATGTCCAAAAGGGGGAAAAAACAGAGATTGAGCCATAACATTTACCATTTTTATGAACTATTGACCAACATCCTAATGTCTGGAAGCATTCAATTTTAGTAAGTGAATATATATTCATTATCACTAAATGAAGTATGCATTTCATTTTGCAATTACCATGTATCATTTTTTAATGTGCCACTCAAGTGCCTCCTCAATGGTGGAATTTTGGATACTATTATATTTTTTTCACCAATGGCATAAATTTACTGTGGATCTGAATATCTACTTAACTACATCAAAAATGCCACCAGCAAATCTTCCAGGATTAAAACTATATTTTCTTCCTATAATGAAAATAATCCATGACCAATATTATCTGGGATAATAGAAAGGATGCTATCCTGAATTAATATTTATAACACCATCGGAAAACTTCAATATTTCTACTTGCTTCTGATTTTTTCTTAGTTAACATCTCAGTTTTCATTGACCATCAAATTTTTTTCCATTACAAGGTGACCCAACAATCGTATTTTGAGAGTGTGTCACTTTCAGACTCTATTTAATCTGTCTTCTCTGTATTACAATATTGAACACAGGAAGTACACTTTATATGACTTTTCAAATAACTGGTATTTTTGACATAATTTATACCACAGCACTACTGGCCATCAGTATATTTTCAATAATTATATTTATATCACAGAGTCCTGAAGCTTTAAAGTATATGGACTCTCTCCATTTTCTCAGACAAATGAAAAATTTATTAATACTATATTAGGAAATTCAGCAATCTGTCTACATATTTGATTGGCTAAACGTTCATTATTCTTTCTTCCCTAAGTAATCTCGTTAGTTTTCAGTTAGTGTGAGTACATACAAACAAATTAAAGGTATTTATTGGTAACACAAAGTAATTCCAACGATGTAGGAAAAGTGTAAGGACTATCTTAGTAATGTCAATGCTAAAGTTTTAGTATTCTCTAGAGTAGCATTTTATACTGAATAACAGAATTCTGAAGCTCTTTGAAAACATTTTGTCCACCATATGCTCCACTAGCTTTTAAAATATCTTACTGAGAATTCAAGCTCCTCCTTCCATAAAAAGCAGTTTCTCAATGGTATTTTCCTAAAGCTTTAAGTTATGATGGGAGAATAGCTGGAAAGTATATGCTTTCTCCCAACATTTGAAACATTCATTTCTTTTGTAAAACAGCTCATAATTGTTGTCTCTAAGATTTTTGTATAGAAAAATAATCCAAAGGTGTTGAATGGGAATGATGTCATAGAAGGGGAAGCTATAGAATTTCTCATGCATTCCTTTTTATAGACACCATCACTAAGCTAGGTTTTTCTTTGCTCGCAAACAGCCAGAAAAAAATATTTATTTTCAATTCTTTATGAGTATCTCTTCAGGACTAAGCTAACTTCCTTGAGAAGGAGTTTTATCTCATTTTGTTCATTAGGATAATTGGAAAGTTTTATTTATAAATAAATGAGTGTGATCCTCGTCACCTAAAGGAACTGATAAATGTTATCCAAAAAAACTTCAATCTACAGAATGTGTCCTATTATCAGAGGTAAGCCATATGATCTTTGACTATTTACCCTATAGCCATTTTATTATGTATACATATCCAAGAGTAAGTTTTGGTTTAGGATGGCTTTTTCCTCCGGAAACCTGTTCAAGCCTGAAAAAGAGAAAAACATTTGATGTAGTGGTATAAATTTTGTGTAAGATCCAATTATATATTCTTTTAAGCCAGAATATTAAATTTTATAAATATTCACACATTATTATCAAAGTTCTACTTGTAGGTTTGTTATAACTTCACCACAGAGATACTCTTATAATATAATAATGATGGATGTACAGTTTAATAAAAGAGGAACAAAATAGATTAATTTCTTTTGAGAGGTATTCAAGACAGTGGGTTTATGGCAAGCCTGAAGTACATAATGAGACCCTGTCTCAAAAAACAAAACAAAAAAATTGACTTGAATATATAAAATTATAAGTCTGATGGGCCGGGGATTTAGCTCAGTGGCAAGCACAAGGACCCGAGTTCGATCCCCGGTACCAAAAAAAAAAAACAAAAACAAATTATAAGTCCAAACATTTAAATTTTCTTTTAAAAAGACATGTAACAATTTAGATTTAATATATGAGATACAAACTTAAAATTCCTATAGAATTGATATTACATTAATACATAAATCTATTAATAGATAATTCACTCAAATTACAGTGTAATGCCACAATTATTGAATAATTAAATATCAATATATTTTATGTATTTCATTCAGCATGCTTAAGTATTTTCCAGTATACATTGGAAATACTGTTATATTATCCAAATTATCCAAATTTTAATCCATTGTAGTTGTTTTATATTGTCTTCATTTCCAATTCTTTAAATTCTTTGACACGGCTTAGTTTTCCATTTTACAAATGAGTTATGCTGAACTATAAAGTGATATGGCAAATTCTGACTTAATCTTTAAATTAACACATTATAAACAAAATCCATACATCTATGAAAAGTACATCTACTTTATACCCATACATTCCTGCTAGATTTAATTGAAACGTAATGTTCTCTTTGGTAGTTTGTGGACAAATATTTAATCTCATACAGTCTTTTTAGATTGAGAGAAATCACGGTTAACTTCTTCTAGTTTAAAAAGTATAAGCAACTAAAATGTATTTCTTTAAAGCTTTTCTGTATATTGAGTGAATGTCTCAACCTGCAAAAGAAAAAAGGCAATTATCCAGATGATCCAGGTCAGAAACATGTCACCAAGTAATGAAGAATAAAACATGGACCTTACTTATTTATGGTACACATCATTGATTACTTGTGTTTTCCTATATACTAGATCTAATATAACTATTGTGTATCACAAAGCCCTATAATACCATTTTACTGGTTGTAAAACAATTCATCTGATGAAGAATAAATTTTAAATTAGATGGTCTGATTTAAAAGCTGATCAAACAAATTGCACCCACAAGTATTTCTCTAAAAGATGTTTCTACTTTTAGTTATTTCAAACCCAGAATATTTTTAGCATTACAAAAAAAACCAATAAATGAAAGGAATTATGAGTCAAAGTGGGAAATTAAATAGAAATATTTAAATTTAGTTGCCGAGAACCCAGTAAAATTGCTCATATGATTTTCTACACTATTATATCAAAAAGAAAGACATTTTAACATTAAACAATTCAACTTTTTGGAAAACAGTGACTCTTAATTATTGATTTATTGAAGGTTTAGGTGTCTTTTTGGTTTTCAGTTCATGCCAACAGTTTGATATTTTGTGCAAAAAGTTTAAGTGTTCTGAAGAATTTACTGTATTCCTGTACTTGAAAATTTTCAATAGTATTTCAGAAATGTGTTAAAATATATGTATGAAATGTCCAAGATTGAGTGAAATATATATCTCTGCTTTAATGTTTACTATATGTTAAATCAGTGGATATATTTTGCTATGTTATGTAGTTCTGTGTATTATATGTGCTATTTTGTAAAATGCATTACTGTTGACCAAAATAATAGTGTTATATGAACAGTACATGGTTTTTTGGTGGACTCATTTTTAAAAATTGATTATATTATATGAATTGTACTGTTTATTATTTATCTAATAGCTTTTTGCCTGTGTTATTAACTTTGTTTTATGCTTTTGTGCATTCTGTGGGAAAAGCACTGTAGAAACTGTTATTAGATTAAAATGAGTTTTAAAATAAATCACTGTGAAACATGCAGTGATGAACCAATTCTCAAATAGGTAAATAACTTTATTTCAAATACTACTAAATTGTTTACAATGTATTCATAAAATGTATTTAAATATTTTACTTTGGAATTTTTTTATAGAATCCATAGTGTTTTCAGTAGAGGTCGTACAGGTGGAGCATGGCACTGACTTCAATATGTTGTGGCTCTGCATAATTGACTTTTAACATTTATGGCAGATTAACCAACAGATGACACCATACAATAGATAAAAGTGTCCACATAACCTAATAAAATAAATGGTTTGTACTCATTCATTTTTCCGAACTTCATTTAATTTTACATTGTTAATATTTACCATCCTGTCCCTATGAAATGAATATGTACAATGCATTAAATACGAATGTATTTGGAGGTAAAATAAATAAAATAGCAG